TGCTACTGAGATTTGTTGAACCTCATTGAATTAAGGTCAACTCATCAATTCTTAACAGGAATATAAGTTGAAGTTGATTCCTAATAGCTTCTGGAATGTAAAAGAAATGCTGACCTTTAGTCTAGAGGTCAATGGAAGCAAAGTCAAGAGCCAGAGAGTTTTGGTAAGAAATTTACACATTGCTGATAAGAGGTGGAAATTGTCTCTGTTTCACATGCTGGAATCCAGAGATGGTGTTTCTAGTTCTGCTCTTGTAAGACCAAGACCAGTCACTTAACCTGCCTGTCTTGTATTTGCTTTGCATGCATGAGAATTTATGTTGGCAAGTTGCTTTTCTGGAGACAAAATGAAAGCTTTGTTAATGTAGCATATTAACCACTTGCTGCATGTATAATATAAAGGATTTCAATTTGCTAAGAGAAAAATCCCAAGTTAGCTGATGATCAGATCTGGAAACAGAGAGAACATTGAAGAGAAGGGCAGAGCCTGGCTGTTCTTTGAAAAGGGCGGCCATGTGCCATGCAGCTTCCAGACAGCTGCCCAAGAGCCAGGCAGTGCAGGGATCCTGTAAAACTTCAGCCCTTGAATTCTGCGGCGATAAGGCACGCTCTCTGGATTAACAGCCCTGTCAAGGGGAACCCTCTGAAGTGCTTATTTGTTTAGAAGAAGATCCTCGTTCATCATCAGGGAGTGATAGAAATGGGGCTCTCTGACGCTGTATCTGAAGGCTACCTGGATGTATGGGCTCGTTTGGCACCATGGAAAGGAAGAGAAGGAGAAAAGACACTGATGCTATTCAGTTTCAGCAGAGTGTTAAAGTGAAACATATTATATGTGTTCCAAAACACCATTTTTTTTAATGCCAATTTTATCCCTTTTCATTGTAAACCTCTTTGGGGAAAATTTTATCTTAAATGAAAATCAGAGACGAAAAACATAGTTAGGCTGTTAACTAACAAACAGACATCCAAAAAGAAAAAAGCAACACTTTTGTAAAATTTGAAATTAGAATTGCAGTTCCCTTTAATTACTTTATTATTGTAGCCTCTGAAATCCATTTTATCAATCAATTCCTCTAGTCAAGCATGTGGATCTGGTATTTATTTGCTATAATAAGTAGATTATAAGCTAAAATAAGTTTTCCTTTTAAAAGTGCCATAGCTGAAAGAGTGATTAAAAAAATGTTTCGGGATAATGAACGATTTTTTTGATAATCTGGAATTTATGGTATTATGAAAATGGAAAATGCTCAAAAGCAAATATTATCTGTAGAAATGAATGAGAATAATTAATATAAAAATTGAATGCCTTGCGTATAAATAAGAATAGGATTACTTGCTAGGTAGGTGAAATTTTAGGTACTGTGATCAGTTATAATTGAGAATTAAAGCTAAATTCTGTGATTTTGAGCGTACGTATAATTAATAAGGAATTAGTTTTACCTAAAACAAATGGCATATATTTCAATTACTAATTTGTGCTTATATAATACATAATTCACGACTACTATATAGTGGTATATGTCACAAGAGTGCATAGATAGACATAAGCTATAAAATACAAAGCGCATCTGCGCCTTCTCATATAACTATAATTTACTGAGAACTGTTTGCTAATAATTACCTCTTTCTAACATCCCTGCAAGTAGATCTTGTGGTCTTAGCTTATAGATGAGGAAAGGGAAGTTGAGGGAGGTTAAACTACATGTCCAAGGCCACCTAGCCAGTACGTGGCAGAGACGGGATGTGAAGGCAGATCTGAAGCCCTTGCTGTTCACTTGTAGTTGCATCGCCTCCCTGACTAGATCTACACGTAGCTATCTGCAAATGTCACTCCTATTTCTGAGAATGCTGCGTACGATGGATGTCTGTCTCAAAGGATCTGTCAGATATCCTAACGGCTACATAGGAAAAACAAAGTGAAACAAATAAAAGGGCTGAAGCTTGTTGCCATCTAAGAACCAAACCAATGTAATGATTAAATGTTGGAACAAAGCAGGCTGAGGTTAGGAAAAACACTGTGCCACCGGCAGTGTGTTTCTCTTATCCTCTCACTTCCCCTTCTGTCTACTCTACTCCTTCTGTCTACTCAACCCCTTCTGTCTACTCCATTCCTTTTGTTTATTCTCCCCCTGCTGTCTATCCCACCCCTTCTATCTCCTCTACTCCTTCTGTCTCCACTACTCCTTCTGTCTCCACTACTCCTTCTGTCTACTCTCCCCCTTTGGTCTGCTCTCTTTCTTCTGTCTGCTCTGCTACTTCTGTCTACTCGGCCCCTCCTGTCTACTCGACTCCTTCTGTCTCCTCTACTCCTTCTGTCGACTCTACTCTTTCTGTCTACTCTCCCTGTTCTGTCTACTCTACTTCTTCTGTCTCCACTCCCTCTTCTGTCTCCTCTCCTTCTGTCTGCTCTACTCCTTCTGTCGACTCCATTCCTTCTGTGTCCTCTCCTCCTTCTGTCTACTCTACATCTTCTGTCTACTTGACCCTTTATGTTTACTCTACCCCTTTTGTCTATTCTACTCCTTCCCAGCCCCCTCGGAGTCCTCCACAGTCTACTTTATCAGATCTGACTTCCCAGGAACATCCCTCTATTTTGTCGGATTTCTCAAGGCCTTAATGTTTCCTGGGTGACTGTGTAAAAATAGTTTATCCTACTAATCTATTTAATGTGGTAGTGAGCTAATTTGTACCTATTCTAAGAAATGTAACAATAATAATACTAAGGAGAAGAATAAACAGTAATAATCACCTCCAAAACCATCTACCCACATACACAGGTTGACACTGAGGACTGCAGCTTCCTACTACCCACTTCTACATCTCCCTCTATCCTTGCCCAAATCCCACAGAAACAACAAAAAAGTTAGTATCTACATTAACATGATCACTATTTCAGGAGACCCTGTCCAGGCAAAAGGTTTGATTATTCATACAAGAACTTCCCTAAAGACCCACCAAATATTCAATGGAAAGTATCAAAACACAGGACTGGACAACTGTGTCCTAATCTTTACCTAATTCTAATCAAACCCCTAACTGAAAGACCCACCATAAATCAAGGTTTCACTTCTCAACAAATTTGTCCTTGCTTCCTTCCCCCTTCAAGACACTGTCAAATCTCTGCCGAGGTGGTCTTCTCTCTTACCGAGGTAAACAATAAACTCAGCTCTGTCTTGTTGACAGGTTGTGTTACTAATATTGGGGGAGCCGGCATTTCAGAGTACTAACAACTAATCCACACAGCACTTACTATGTGCCAGGTACTGTGTGTGCATGCACACACAAGCACACACATCATTTAATCCTCATAGCAACTCTATGAAGTAGGCATGAGTATTATCCCCATATTACACATGAGGGAACTGGGGCCCAAGGAGGCGTCAAGCAGCTTGCTCAGATGACACAGCTTCTTAGGTGGCCTTCTAGACTGCCTCTTGTAGTGTACCGCCAGCAAAGAAATGGATCTTCACGAGGCTCTACAGTGATGACTATTAATATGAAGCTTATGGAACTGATAGCAAACTCAGAGATGGTTGTTAGCTGGGCACGTGCTTCAAGTTAGATGAGCTATCATTGGCCACAGGTGGTACCAGCCTTGCATGAGTAAGTCAGGTTGAAGGAATTAGTGTGGTGTATCAGTTGAGGCAGGAAAATTGTTCTACGCAGTGGCTGAGTGAGGTATGATTAGCATAGGTAACAGTCCTCAATAGTTGGTTTCCCACACCAATTCTATCCACAACTACAGAAGATTCCGGTATGGTCGCCTCTAACTAAGAGAGGACTTATTCATGTGAAAAGGACTAAAGGCACAGAGGAAAAGAAGCTACAGATAAAAAGCTCACAACTTCATACTCGAGTTCTGGATCATACTGCTGTAACAATAAATCATTATCATGATCCATAAATAGGAAGGATGGCTGGGGTAAATCTTATCTTGACATTCTATCTATTCTCTGTCAGTGAACTTCTAGGTAAACGGCACTGGTTACGTTCCCTCCACCATTGCCTCTCTCTTACCCAGAGTTCTGTGACAGTGCAAGCATCCCCTGCTATCAGAATTCATCAAGTTCCTGAATTTGGATAGCAGGGGACACATGTATGATTTCTGGTCTTCTCTTTCTCACACCCAAATTTCCCTCCAACCTTTCTGTGGTGCTTCTTGCTTTTCATGATGTTATCACAGTTTTGCGATAGGTTCTTTTAGGGGCTGACTAGGTTGACGTGTATTTTGTGTCCTCATCTAGGGAGTGAGGCTCTGTCGAATTGCTGTTTGATAAAACGGTGCCTGAGAATGACATTCCGGGGACTATTTAGCTTCCTGGAAACTAGGGGCAAGGATTCCTGTTACTCTTTAGGAATTAGTATAAAAGAAAATATAGGATAAAGCATGATACATTTAAATACTTCTTAAATTATTTATCCTACGTGGCTGTCAAATGAATGAGCTCGATAGGATTCTAATTCTTTTTATGTTATCTAATATGCATATAACATATATTTCTAAATACTAAGATGCAATAGCATATTACTCTTTCTAAAATAACTCCCCTACTCAAACTCTTCCTTTACCTTCCTTCCTCTAGAAATGTAATCTGAAATATTTTCAGGAGCTCGAGGCCCATATCCCTACTTGTCCTGCTCTCTGCTGTCATTTCTAGAGCAGAGCACCTCAAAGTTTAACATGCACGTGATCCACCTGGGCATCTAGTTACAATACACGGTCTGCTTCAGTAGGTCTAGGGCGAGGCCCACGATGCTGCAGCTCTCACAAGGCGACGGGTGATGCTGATGATGCTGACCCTCGCACCACACTGTGAGCAGAGACTCTCCATTCTAGAGCCTATTACATTAGCAATCAGCCATTTGTTCTACTCATTACCCCACTGAACAATCTTTGCCTGCCCTGCCCCCTTGTCTTTTTCCATGCCCTGTCACGTATACCTCTTTTCTCAGATTTATCTACAGAAATGTAAGTGAACGTGATAATTTTTTTTACAGGCACGGTATACCTCCGCATCCTTGAAGGAAAATCCCTTGCTCTCTTATTTCTCTGAACCACGCCCTCGTACTGTCAAGAATCCAGGGGTCACGGAAAGACTCCAGGCCTCGCTGAGTGTGGTCACGTGACATAGTAACACTGTAAGTCACCGAAGGGGCGGGCACAGATTGAGAATACAGTTTTTGGCTGAAATAAGACTTTCTATAAAAATATTGAGAAATGCATCGTAAGTGCCCCTTCTCTTTTTCTACTAAGGAAAACACTCAGTCTCAGGCTGGACAAATCAAGTAATTCTGGCATTTAAGAAACAAGGCCCAAGAGGGAGCCTCCTGGCTGGTTCTGTAGGTTACAAACCAGCCTGATTTCTGCCATGACTCTTCTCAACGCGTACACGTCCTCAACGTGATTTTGGAGTGATTGTTTTTATATTCAAAGACAAGCTCCCCCAGAAAGCGCGAATTAATACACAGGAGGGTCGTGCAATATTGCGTTTCAGGTGTCGTCTTTGCTTCTTGGCGGCTCCCAGCGCGGGGCAGCGTGGACGTGTTAATCCCCGCATCCTCCCAAACGCGCCCCTCTGGGGCCAGTAAAGCCCTTCGGCCTCCTAGTACGGACTTCCTGGCAGAGCAGCGGCTTTCCTTCCAAGTGAAACCGTAGGATCGCCTGGTTAAACGCGCTAAACCTAAATTGGCTTTTAGGTTGTCATTTAACAGCCCTGAGGCCCTCCAGAAGGATCCTGTGCAAATCCCGAGGTAAATGAGGCCTAAGCTAAGTGAAAATGACCCAAGAAAAGATTTCAAAATGGACAGCAAATTCTTTACCCAAGTTGTATTTTTATTTCTTTTATCTGAGAATTAAGGTCATATGTCATCTTCAAACAATGATGTCTGGCCCTCAGACTTTGCACAAAGCTACATGGCTGTATTTAAAAATCAGGCAATGAATCCAAAGCTGCGTTTTCTATTGTTCTTTCTTTTTTAAATTTACTGAGGACACGTTGCATATAGCGCTTAAAATTTTGACTTTGGCTTGAGGCTGGGTATTCTTGCTTCTCATTTATCCATTCAGCAATACAAACTTCTGAAATAGTTGGGTTTTGTTATGAAAAGAACTGTATCTTTTTGATCGTATTTTCCTAACTCTCCTAATGACATAATAACATCAGTGCCCCTATAAGAAGTTCTCAAATTTAAACTGCAAATCCCTACATACCCATCGATAGTCTGATTCCAAAGTTCTAGAATGAAGCCAGAAATCTGTATTTTTATCGAGCCCTCCAGGTGATTTGGATGCACGCTTAAAACACTCTCTGTATTTCTTATTGAAGAAAGTTTCCTTTTTAATTAAAAAATTTCTTATCTGAAATAAAAAGAGTAAAAGACAGATAGGTAAAGCTCAGTGTTTGGGAGGGCGTTGTAGTGTGATGAGAGGAGTCCCCCAGATGGCTGGTGGACTGCCACCCCCAGTGGCTTCACCAGCACAGAGCTGGGGCTTGGCGGGAGCAGATCAGCGCAGACAGATGCAAGGGAGCAGGGCAATTGGGAGTTCTGACGAGTGATTTTGAAGGGAAGGAATGATTTGAGTGGAGGCCACATGGTTTAACTTACAATGAACCTGCAGGTTTTGAAAATTGCATGCTGGATTTCCTCATAAACCTACATCAATCTCAGGGAACAAGAGGCGATGCTGTTTGGTATGCAATCTTTGGGGAGTTTTTTCTCATTCGATGCAAATACATGGAAAATATACATTGGAGTTGAGAATTAAAAAATGCAGAGAAAAAAAAAGGCTTTCAATAATTTAATAAAAAGCATGTGGGCAAATGTGAGCTACAGTCACTTTCTATTTAAATTATGATACCTTTGAATTTGCTTTTAGGAGGATAAGCGCAGTGTCCCTTGGCATTCTCTCTCTCTCTCTTTTTATTCTACTTTTTCAAACAACCTGCATGTCATTTCAGAAAGAAGGGGTAGCAATTGTTCTCAGGGACCTCAATAAGCAGTAGCAGTTAATAGGAAGAATCGTGCAGGGTAGCGAGTAAAATTGGAGTTGCCACCTGAAGCTGAGTCTTAAACACTTGTCTTCTCCTCTACACAATGACACAGGGGAAAAAAAGAAATACGAACACACAGAGATGTAAAAGTATTATTTTGCTGGTTTTTTGGAATTAATAAAAAACACAAAATCTCTGGTTGTCTTGTAGGAAGTTTAGCAAGTTTCTGGGATTAAATGGCTTTCCTCTTCTGTGAACGGTCTGATGTAAACCCTTGTACCAAGGCTTAAAGTCTTAAGGCTGTTAGAAGTTTCCATCAGTCAGTCTGTATGTCAGTGGATAAAGTCAGTGGCTGATCTCGCCTATTCATTGCTCTCTGGAAAAATGCATCAAACTACAGAAGTATTTTTTAGTGATGAATGAGAGCTGGGGAAATGAGGACCCATCCGATGATAAAATGTGTTTCTAACTGGCAACATTTTGGAGCAACAAACTACCACAGTGCTTTTCTAAGTAATTTTAAGTGCTATATTTGATGAATGGTGAAAAAAAGAGATCAGTTGTCCTTGGTAATCTGTCTTTAGTTACTTCTATAAACTGAAAGTCTCTCATTTCCATGGTTAGAAAAGTTTGTGTTCTATGTATATTTTTCCTGAAATAGTTGATTTTGCACATTCAAGACCAGAAAAGTTAAGTGAAAGGACATAAAATTCATTTCACTCTTTCTCACTTGTTCTCTTTTATCTTAAGTTGATGTACATTTTTATACTTGGAATATCTGCAGTTCATGCTATTATGTATAGAGGGATGTGTGCACTCTGTGAGTCAACAATTATTTGACCCTGCGTGCTGAACTGTGTACTGCGTTCAGTGAGATGTTAGCAAAGGGCCAGACAAAAGTAGAGTACAGATAAAATACCACATCTGGCCTTGGCCTTGGCCCTCCAGGGGTTTGTGTAGTGTATTTGAAAACATATGATGGTAGATCTTAATAAGCTTGGTTAAAGGCATTCAATTATGCATATGCTTTACATGCCAGTGAATCTTAATAGGCTGCTCTATGGTTCATGTCAGCAGTTCACCAAAGGAATTTGCTAATGATTTAACAATGTTGTGGAAATTACTGGGTTGCTTTTCAGTCTAGTTAGGCTGGCAAACTTCCTATGAAGCGTTTTAATCAACATTATCACATTCTGTTCCAATAATGGGGTTCTCAAAAGACTCGTCAGCTTCTCTTTTGTTATTCTGTTTTTACTATTGTTTCCAAAGTTATGGTGCATTTATCAGATATTCTCAGGAGCCAGTTATGACCATAGGATATTAGTTGATTGGTAGGTATCCAAGGTGAATTTTGACATTTTCCTTCAGTTTGAATGACTATATCCCAGAACTGATTTAGGCTGAGTTTGCATGGCCAGGCAGATAAATGCTAATATTATTCACATTTCTGACTGTTATAACTAAGTTTGTGACTTGAAAGCATATTGAAGTAAAGTCTTGTTGTGAGCTTTAGAAGATTACAAGTTTTCCTATATGAGCAAAAGGGAGCAATAGAAAAATGACAAACTTGGCTTTTCAAATGGAATGTATTGATTAGAAGAAATTCCGTCACTTTTGACAAATACAAAGCAGAACGATGGTGGTTTTTGCAAGTCTAGAATTTTCTTGAGCCAAATCCTGAGAATAAGTCAGTGACCGTGAATTTCAGTCAGGAACTTTAGGAAGGGCGTCAACCCTGATGGGACCACTTGGCTATTGGAAAAGTAGCCAGCACTTAGGAGAGAGGCTCATTCATATGTAGCATCTGGCTGAACATTTGCTTCAGTACATTAGCATTTTTTTCTTTCAAAACCTGCTATTAATTTCCTGCTGCTACTTTCTATCGCAGTTTAGATGATTTTTAGAGTTGGCATATTGTCTCTACTTTCTTCCCTCTCTCCTCTCAAACCCATAACCCAGATGTTGAAAAAAAATTTTATTTAAATATAGAAAAGCTCATTTACTTTTTCTTTAAAAGGAGCATTGGTCATGATGAAAGTACTGTGGAAAAAATAAGACCTTTTTCACACTTACAAAAACGTTTTAAGTTTTAGATGACTATAAAAATTGCCTTAACAAAGCTTTCAAAAAACCTAAGCACTAAATGTTAGCCCAGATTTTAAGCAGTAGGAAAACTCACTATCCTATCATAGTAGGTGAGAGACATTTCCTCATTTAGTTTTTAAACAATTCTTTGACAACAGATCTTTCCAAAGATGCCAATCATTCCGGTCATATGACTTGACTTGATAGTCCAGGGGGTCAGGGGTGCATCTCATCTCATCATGTTTGTAGTCCAAGAAAACAAGCCAATAAAAGTTAGCTTGGTTAATTTTTTGTAGCTGATACTATTAGTAGAATGCAGAGTCTGTCGTTCGGGAGGAGTGCAAAATCATGATAGGTAGAAAACAAACAGGAGACTCATGGAGCACACAAACAAGCAAAACAAAACGTTGGTTAATCCCGTAAGAAAATAACTTGCATGAAAAAGCCCTGGGCAAGGACGACTTTGGTTTGGAAAAGGCTGGACCACCTTGTTTATGGTGGTATGTCGTTGTTAACTTAACTTTCGCCCTAACATTTTCCTAATACTTTTTATTTTAATCAGCAATATTTAAGTGAAAGATATTTTTGGGGTAGAATAACTACTGAAGGTTTAAAATGTATTTGGTTTATGCTAAACTCCATAAATATGTGGGAAGGCATCAGATCTCTACTAACAGCAAAACCTGAGTGCCTTATCACTGAGAAGGTTGGTCCGAAGATTTTATTCTAACACTAACCCAACAAATATTTTACAGACCAAACTAGAACTTCATCTGTCTATTGTTATTTACCATAAAATTGGCTTTTGGTCAAAGCGTCTGAGTTATAACAAAGAATATTACAAAAGGAAAACTTTAAAATGTATGAACTGTTGCCAAAATATGTTCTTGTGCACTTTGGCTGTCTGCATGAAGAAAGATGCCTCGATTTGAAATTTCGTTAATCTTTGTCCCCAATAAAATTTTGTTATTGTAATGCTAAGTAGAAGCAACAAGTGTTATAATTTTCCTACCTAAATGCCATTGATATAATTTTAATGATCATAACCTGCCAATGATGAAA